GTATACTTGTATATTGCCAGAAGAATAAGTAATATGCAGCAAAGAATAATTGTTCTACGCTGTCCTTGAACTGACCATCACATGCTACAGAGTAGCAAAGCAGCAAACCGTCACACAATTTATTGTTTGACAGAATTAATTAATTCCTTCCAACTTCATCATTATGCCGCTGTCCCTTCAAATCGCATGCAGTTTGACTTTTACTGAATTTCGGGTAAGTTGTTAAGACTGTCGTGAATAGTGAATTGGATAATACAGGAATCAGCCGTGGCTTGCAGAATTTGAAAAGAAAAGAAAGGTCATGTTTTCCCTACAGCTAATTAAACATCATGCCACGAAAATCTATGATATCTGATGTATAGCACAGTCCATTCTTAACATCGGTACTAGATGAAAATGGCACGATTCACGGCCCGGGCCTTTAACCCTGGGAAAGGAGCCCCCGGTGTCTCTAGATAGAAGACTGGTTGGGCCCCAAAACTGATCTGTATACTCGTACTGTGAAGAAAAGAAAAGTCTTGTCTCCTGCGGATAATCGAAACCCACATCCCGGTTGGCAAGTCGTGGCCTAGTCGTTTTGCTGAATGAGCTATCCCGACTCGCGTATTTGAACGTACTATTTCTGAAATTACCCGAAACATCTGAACTAAACCACGAAAGTATTCAAGACAGCTTGTTCTCCAAGACTCGAATCGGGGACTTTCCGTGTAAAACGCAAGAGTTATAGTCATTAACGCTGAGATTTTTGCTGTGAATCTTTCTTGTGTTCTTAACCTGCGTGCATTTTCACATCTTCGTGTAGAGGTCTCTCTCGAAAAGTACTCAGATCGAGGCCCGTCGATCCATTCGGATCAGGCCAACCAGTCCAGCAACTTCTGCACTGTCCACTATTTACTAACAACATTGAATTCCAACTGCATTAAATGTTGTGACATGACGCCTGAAGGCCGGAATAGTGGAGCTAGAGAAGGCAACGGCTCGCTAAACGTGTTCCCGCTGCAACGAATACGCAAGCAACAACAGAGGGAATGTTAGGAAACGGTGTTTTCTGTTGAGTCGCCCAAGGCTATATAATGAGGATCCTAGGTCAGCGGAGTTTATTGAGGAATCGAGAGAGTTGGTTGAGGGTTGGCAGTTCAGTAGTGAAGAAAAGAGTTACAAGAGTGTGACTGTGAAAAGAAGACTTTATGTGTGCTGTAGTTACAGTGAGACTTATAAATCCGTTTCTAGGGTACCATTAGTGAAGACTGAGAAGACTTAGTGTGTCTTAGTGATTTGTAAAGTGTGGAAATCAGTGATTGCACTGTGATTACTTGTAGTTCCGAGATATGTAAAAAATCCAGTTTCCAATCCATACGCCGTCTATAGCCACACCCATAAATACATAACAATGTGTTATTAAATAATCCATAACTCAGTTATTAGACGGCGCCTTGATTTTCTTACAGCCAGTGCCCTGCTATCGTCTTTCGTAAGTTAACAGCGCTGAAATTTCTCAAGACCACTGGAAGAGGGCTGTTGTATTTTACTGTAGTCACTGCAACGAATAAGCATCAAATATTTATCAGGTGTCATAAATCATCTTTTGGGGGAGCTGATTGACTTTGCTTCTGTTCTCGATTCCAATGGCTCTGTCAAACATCGAACCAAATGGTTCAATGAAATAATGTAGGAAGTTCATGTATGGTCTTATTTCTTGTGTTTGCGGGGTTATATATTGCTCATGTCCAACTAAGAGAAAGAACAAAATAATAATTTAGACAGGTGCTCTGCCCATCTGTCTACGTCTCCTTGAACAGATCTCAACAAAGTATGTTGCTGAAAGCTAAGAGCTTGTTGACCAAAAGAAGACTTCATTTTCTTTAGATGTTACTTACGAGTATATTGCATGAATACATTGAGATTATATTTAAATGATTTCTATTCACAATCAACAGTACTAGCAATGACTGTAACTATGAAAATGAACATGTTGATGAAGAATGATGAAGATAGACCCCCACCCCTAAAAAAAAACCTTCTTGTGCGAAAAGAAATAAAGTGATTTTCTTTTAATCTAGAATTTCACTTCAGCTGTTGAAATTAAGGGAGGCATTTCATAGATACACAACATAATTAAAAACATGTTCCAGTCTTGTACAAATTAATTTTTGGCGACTAATCAAACGTCTCTTTATTTTTGTTTGGTTTTCTTACAATGAACCATTGAAGACTATCTATTACCCCAACCTTAGTTTTGGATTTTGGCGATTTTCATGATCCCTATGGGTTTCTGCATTAACTATTACTGACTGTACTGCAAGAGAATTTTTTGGACAATCATCATTTATGTTAAATGCTCTGATTAGATGATGCTGATTGTCAAGTGTGCCTCTACAAAACAATGTTCACAGAGATATTCTTATAGAGGACTGCAGTTGTTATGCATTCAGAAACAAAAGAGAAATTACATCTTTTGCTTGTCTGCATAGAAATTCTCATTGAATATTGTTACCAACCTGATATCATAAAAAGAATATGAAGATGATAATATAAGTTCTTTACAATGTTTTCTATCAATCTGGAAGACCCTTGATTCCAATATACTGCATATGGAGAAAAGCCTAAAAGTGAAAACATCGATGCATACACAGGAACGAATATTTGTAGTTGTTCCACAGTTACCGCCCTTATCACACTTACTATGTTACAAAGCGTATTATAAATTTAGCATATGGACTTCAAGTACTGATTTACAGTAGTTTTCTGTAATGTAGAAAAAATGTGTTAGTCGGTGTTCATTAGATTATAAATATTTTTTTAACTGGCTTGAATAATTCATAGAAAATCATGATTATCTGAGGATAAAATATTGAGATTGAGGAGTTCATGTAATTAAACCTTTGCCAATATATCTCTACCACCAAGGTTATTTTGTACATTACAGCAAGAAAAGCGATGCTTGTGAGAACATAATTTTCTCTTTTATTTTTCATTAATACAAATTACATCTGCAAGCAATCAAATATTTAATTAGGTGTTATTAAGCCACATGGCCTATTAACATTACATGGCATCTTCTCTTCAGTCTTTCTAAACTTCTCCTTGCATTCAGTCTTATATGCCACAATTTACATAATTCAGTCAGTTTTCTCTATATTAACATTAATTGCAGGTGTCATCTTTCTCTTTACCTTTTTATCACAAGATATCTCTGAACACAAATTTTAATAACAGATTATTGAAGCTGACAACTCTCACATTTATATTGCCTTGGAAGTTAATATTCTTTTATAGTTTATGCAATATTTAGTAAGTACACTAAACACGATGTATGTATGTAAGTTTTGAGGTTTTCACGGTGATGACAATGAAGAAAGTTGTCTTCTGGGTTTAGGCACCGTGTATTCTTCGTTTTGGCCGACGTTTCGGAGGAACGTNAATATTCCGAGAAGAAATTAAGGAGACTAAGTAATTCGAAATATGATATTCATAAGTACAACAATATTGCATAATACAGTGACTAAAATATATAATTTTAAATTAAAAGAAATCTCTTAATCTAGAAAGTATTACAATACTTCATTAACAGTTAGAGTATATGCTTTAATGCAGATAGTTCAGAGAGGCCTTCATGTTGCTTTAACATATTTAATGTGTGGATGAAAATTGGGCATGATGTTCACTGGTCTCTTGTAGAAAACACTTCATTACTTAAAGCCAACACTTCTTTGCAAACTGTGTGGTAAAAATCCACATGACTCAAGGATTCTTGATTCATCTACACATGCACATACACACTGAACAAAAATGCATACATATGCACACATGAACATACCTACAAGCACATTTTTCTTGGTTGGAAATTTGTCTTCACCTACATCTTTTCTTTCTTGAATTTGACCCACAAGGAAATAATGATAGTTCTGGCTCTGGATACAAATATGAACACATACAAATACATGGTAGCTATGTAAATGTAGAGCATGCAAGGGACTCAAAAGTTAAGAGTTAATGAATGGTCTGTGTGCTTGTATTATACATTGTTGAGACTTGCTTGTTGTAAGTGTTGTAGTATATATGACATCTGTGTTTGTTATGAATTTTAATATGTTATAATGAAACTGTATTGATGACATGGCTAACCAGTGTGTGTGTACAATGGTAAGTTGTGAATTTGACAGTGGTTTTTCCACGGCCTGAGTGTGTTGTCTTGATAACTTGTGCTGTCTGCGTGAGTCCTGATTAAATATTTTATTGGACCAAGGACATATGATGTGTAGTCATCATGAATTTGTAATGTGTGAGATGTTTTATATCCAGCCCTATGGGGAGATGATTGGATCCATAAAGTGAAAATAAATGTAAATGTAAATGTAAATAAATGTTTAATAAACTCTAGGAATTCAGTAAGGCCAGATACAGCAAATAAGAGGCTATCTGATTCTGAACTCCTGTGCAATGGTGCTTCCAAGCAGCACCAAAATGGTAACATACATTTAACTTCGGTGCAGGAAAAAGTAGATCTAAGTATAGTAACCAAAAGCTATAGAATATACTCTAACATCTAAGCACTTAGTTTAAGGCCTAACATTTTCTGTGTAGGTCTGCTTCAAGACTCTTTACAACTTCATTCCAGCCTTGTTTTAGTACATATAAAATTATTGTGACAATAAATCCTTGTAATTCTGCATTACAAAGAGCATTGAATTTGAGCTTTCCACAGCAGTGACTATTAAAACTATAATCCTTTAGGTTGTGACATGTAGTATTGTTGGCCAATATTGGCATTTCAGAGGAACACATTGCCTCCATCTGCAACCCTTAATATGGAGGCAGTATATGAAAGCACCAATTGATATAGCATTTAATGGCAGTTTTTCAACTTGAACATTTGCTTTCTGGGGTTTATTTTTCCATTAACATTTATAACTTGCTGTTAAAAATTAATATTTCCCTTGTATGGGTATCACAGGTCATAGGCATTTATAATATGTATCTACTGTAACCATAATTTTGAAACTGGCATGCTAAAGTGGGTTTGTAAGTTACAATTTATCTCCAAAATGGAATATGATTGTTTCTGTGGTAACAAAAAATACTTTATCACTTTTTTAGCGATCGGCTATGTGAGTCAAATTGGCAGAAGCAGCTTAGCTGGGATTCAGGGGAAGTATAAGAGGGCTGTACATATTCATTAAGACTCTATCTTCACTAACTTAACTGAGACACATATGGAAGTGACAATTGATGTTTAGTTGGATGTAAAGGACTTGTCAATTTTTGAAATTCCTAACTGGAGAATGACTCCTCTATTATTTTCTCTGGAGGTTGAAATGTAATTTGACTCTTTATTTAGTACTGAGGTTGCTGAAGTGTGAAAATGTACCCCAGACTCACCACTTAACTTTTACAGTGATATTTAGATTTTATCTTCTACTTCTAATATGATTCTATACAAATTTTTAATTTATTTGGTTTTGTGAAAAACTGACAACACCTATTTCTTAATTTAAGCTATTTGATTTTTCTTAAATTAATAACTTACAGAAATTGAACTTGGCTGTATCCTACTTTCCTGTGTTCAAAATAAAGTGAATTCTACTAGATATTAATTTTGGTTCTTGGGGCAAACTAAATAACTATTCATTACATCTGCATGTAAGCACAATATTTCAGGATCAGAAAAAAAATTATACTCAAGTGTTTCAGAGAAAATCCATGCTTTACTTGTGTGTGAAAGCTATTCAGTCTTGTAACTTCAGATCTATTAGGTCAGTACTGCAGTCATATTTCTCTGTTGAGAAATGTTGCTGTGTGTTTAGATATTTCACAGCCTTTCACATACCATTCTGGTTAATGAAGGATAGGAACATAAGAGAACTCAGGTTCAGAACTCTCCTTTTCTATATAAGACTCAAGTTCTTGAAGGGTCACTAGACAATTCTTGTGCATTCTGATTACTCCGATAGCATATGCTGCAACCAACACAGTCCCTGTTATGATCCTACATCCCTTATCATGAAGTTTGTAGAGAGTGCTGTTCAGACTTTAATGGTGTTTCATTCATTTTTTGTATTAATAACCATAAGAACAGCTGTACAGCATCATGTATATGCTGGTTTATCTAAACATGTTCTTGTGGAACACGTTTGTACTTGCGGCGGTGCATTGTATCCACGCTTTCCAGGTACCAAGTCCCTGGAAACAGCACATCAGGTGAAGCCGATGGTATGTAAGGTGCTGCAACATACAGAGTGGTCAACAAGTCATAAAAATTTTCATCTGCTATGACTGAAAAATAAAGCAATGATAAAATAAATGGCAGGAAAACTGGAGAGCACACGAAGGACAGGGTACTGGTATATCAGGATGCAACTTTGTAACTTGGGAAGAAAATTCAATTCAAATTCAGTCCAGTGTTGCTACCAGAGGAATATGAACGAAGAATATTAGTTATTATTAGATGCTGTGCTGTAACTTAGACAGTTAGATCCAGACTGAGACCATGTCATAGCTCAGGCAGTTAGTTGACAAGTACTTACTGTAGAGGACCAGGGTGTCAGTCTCAGTATAGTCCATGTGGGATTTGTAGTGGGAGAAGTGGAACTGGAGCTGGTTTTCAGTTTTTCTCTGCCTTATACAGCGAGAGTCAGTAAATAAGTCACAAATGGAAGTAAAACATCTGTAATGGACGCAACAGGTTTTCTGTGTGTATCACTATGTAGCAGCAGAGTCCAGCTTCATGACAGTCTAAGTAGCAGGTGTGCATGTGCATGTTCAAAGGCTGGTTTCAGCAGTCAAAATGGTGACCATACTTTAGTATACTACTGAAGAACAGATTTCTGTTGTGCATTTTCTGTGGGCAAAAAGGACTGAATACAATAGATATGCATAAAGAAACGTTTCCCATTTACAATGGAAAGTGTTTGTTGCATAAAATGGTTCAAAACTTGGTCAATAAGTTATCTCAAGGACATTCAAAAGTTGCAGATTATGCCCCACCAGGTGTGGAAGTGGCTGAGACAGTAGTCAAAATATTTCTATGCTGTGGATTTAAACACATTGGTAAAATGATGGGACAAGTGTATCAATGTTGGTGGAGCATATGTTGAGAAATAAATGTTTTATCCATGTTCAAATATCATGTGTTTTACATTTCATATCCATTTGTGACCTATTTACTGACCCTCCCTTGTATCTTTCCCCAAATGCTCCAGTCTCATCTATCATTAGGGGCTGGTGCAATAAGTTTATATGAGGCTGTAGTCCCAAGGAAATCAATCTCACTCATTGCTGACAACCAAGAACTGGATGCTGGCTTGTCACTGTGGGTTCAGTTTCAATACAAAGGCAGTCTGTGTGAGATTTTTGGTGGACATAGTGGCACTGGGCAGGCTTTTCTCCAAATAGCTTAGTTTCTCCCACAAATCATCAGTCCAGCAGTGCTCCAGCTTATCTCCTGCTGTTCTGCGATGTGTTTTTCATCAAACCATCTAGCAACATCTAGTAAATTGTGCACCTATACTGTAAAATGGACCTGATATTTACTCATCAGAATGTTCGTATTAGTGCTTTCACTCATTTGTTATATTACAGTGCCTTGGGAGTTCTGACACTTGAACATAAGCTCACACCCTTAAACACATGTACATAATTTGATTAAATATAGCATTCCAAATGTGTTTCCATAAGTAATGGAATGATTCAATTTTGTGATCATTCATATTGTTAGTATTTATTTTATAAAAATCATGTTAAATAAACTGATAAACATAATGTAGTTTTGATAATATCATATAATATAATGGCAGTAGTTGCTTGCACAAGGCTTAGTCAGTCTTGGTGGTATGGTATAGAATGTCTGGATTAAACCAGTAAAATTGTAAAATCAGAATTCACCTAAGAATGACAGAACAGACAAAAACCACAGTAGGTCAGTGCACACGAAGGAAATTAATATATGGTCAGAGTAGTAGAAAGATATTTGTTACTTTCTGTTTTGGGATCCATGCCACTAAAAAATAGGAACACAAAGGAAGGGGGTGGGAGGGTAACTAGGTAACTGTTTCTGGGATACTAATGTGTAAACCCAAATTTTTGAGTAACACCATCCATTATAACACTTTCTGGCTCTGTCAGGAAATCCAAACCCATATTTCCTCATGATGACCCAGGGAAAGAATCCTTCATTTAGCTAAGAAGAATTAAATTGTGTAACCAGACTACCTCTTGGATCAATCTATTATCACTATTTTCTCTTTATCATAGAATCAAGCAATCTGACTGGTGACAATAATGAGAAAAGCCATCAACATTTGCCAGGGGGAATGAAGGTTTCCTAACCTAGAGGATCTAGTAGTGGCAGTTTGAAACACATAAACTTGAGATTTTCTAGAAACTGTATTTCATAGAGAAAAAGACAGGAGTTAACTCATCTATGCAGTCCTTCGAACTTTGGAATGAGCTTTATATTTTGATATTGGGTGATTTTTCCATATGGGTAGAAGTAGTTTCGAGTTTGCGTAAGTTTGTGGATATTTATACAGAAAGTTATAATTTGGCAGTCTAGTTGAATTTTAATATCTGGACAGTAACATGATCTAATTTAATGACTGATTTCATTTTTCGCTGCTAAGAAAATTGTCGTTACATACAGTCAACTGAGATATGAATTCTACTTACTAGCAATTCCTGTTTACTTTTCGTGATGTTAATGTGGATATCACCAGTCTTCTTAATCTGAAGGAATATCTTATAGCTTTGCCCTAAGTTAGGCCTGTGTAGAGACTGGACAAGATAATCACAAGGTAAGTTTCCAGTGCATTACAGTTTGAACCTTTCAGCTGAGGGAGCAAACACTTATGCAAAGTAGCCCAAATTGAGGGTTTTCTTGAGGTTCAGCACCCCAGTATTTTAAAAAAAAAAGATATGCTACTTGTACAAGAAAATTAAGCGCAGAAAGAAAATAAAATGTTGTGCTGATATGAATATATAGAATGAATGGGAAATATAGATGGAATAAACAGTTAATTCACTGAATACCAATTTGAAGATAGAGAATGGCAAGTTCAAAAAATGCTCAGGTTTAGACAAATCTATTAAATGATGGAACAAATTAATTTTAAAGGAAGAGGACTGGGATAATCAACAACAGTTATGGTGTATGAGAATGCTGAAGCACCAAATACAGCATGAAAAGGTACAACGCTATGAGTAATTATCCATAATATTACAGAAAAGGGGCATTTTAGCTTACCCTTGTGGTGATTCTGTTCACGTAGCTCCATAATCTGTGCAAACTCTTCTGGAGTAACTCTTTTACGTTGATCCAGTAGTGATTTAATATGTGAAAGATTTTCAATAAGACGATTAAGAGAGGATCCAGGTCTGACATTTGTTGAAATGCGCAAACAGTACATGGAGGAGGCCAGCCCAGAACCATATGAGAAGAGACACACGCGTTTGCCAGCTAGCTCATGGATGTCTCTGCTGCAAATAAATATCATTTGATTAATGGAAATGATTGTATAATTAATATAGTGATTGAGAACAAGATGTTAAAGAGACAGTTTGCGCCTAAGGTGGCTAATGTAACAGTATGCCCTGTATGTTATGTTGGTCTTCTGCCAGAATTAAGAATGGTAGATACAAAATACAAGACAAGAATTGAACAGGAGTTATCCACCAATACCCTTACCTAATTAAAAGTGATACAAGACCTCCATAAAGAGATGTGGTATACATATTTCCCACTTGTTTAGATATCAAGAGAGAAGGCTTTGTTTTCTCCTCAAAGATACTTCTACTGTAGTCCATAAATGCCTTCTCAATATCACGGTTGAAATATGTGTCTTCCAGCTTCACATTTCTGGAATACAGAATTGAATACAGCTTATTATATACAAACTGGTTTTGAATATAATGACTTTCTTCTGTTGAAGTTGGCAGTACAAAATAAAAATATTGAAACACCAATTTAATAATATATTGTCCCAAATTTCTTACCCAGCACACTATATTTGTCTGCACATACATATGGTAATTCAGTTTTTCAAGGGAGAATATTAAACACAGAAGAAGAGAACACATTTACATGTGATGAGAAGGGGTATACAGGTATATGTACTAGAGGCATTGAAATATCAGTTATTTACAATATATGTCCATATTTAATTCATAATTACTGCAAACATGATGATGATGATGATGATGATGATGATGATGATGACCACGCACACACCCNCCCCCACCACTGCCGCTACCACCAACACCACCGCCATCATCATCATCTTCATATAATATGCCATGCTTGGTCTGTTTTGTACTCTTGAAGAATATGTTGGTCATCCTATCTTACTTCTATCATAACAACCTGAGCCAAAGTTGTCCAATTCGCTGCACAGATGCTATGTGCTATATGCTATATCAGTATACTTGAAACAATTCTTTCTCTATAATGCAGCCTACAAGAGGTAAATAATGTACAGTGAGGTCCCTCAGTATTTTTAAATTTGACAGTCCTTATTTGACCTATCAAGAGTATTGTTAAATTAATCATAACTCTATAAATAAATAAATAATAAGAAAAGTAACTCTGTCCATGTGCATAACTAATTAAGCAATACACCATGAAGACATATTGGGGACTGGATGTATACACCCACGTTCTTTGACCTCAGAACTAGCTAGAGATGAGTGGTCAGCTTCATGCCCCGGTCACTTTACCCCTGGGGAAAAAGTTCCCAGTGCCCACTGGATGGGAGGCTGAGTGGGCTCCAGAGCCAGTCTGGATGACATAGAAAAGTGAAAGTTCTTGCCTTCACCAGAACTCAAACTCCAACCCCTTGGTTGTCCAACCCATAGCCAGCTGCTATACAGACTGCACAATCCCAGCTCTCAAATAAATAAGTAATACCAAATAAAATTTGTAGAATATTTTTTTTCTCATATATGACAACGTTTCGGTTGAAATGAAAATTGTTTCAAAGTTCTGATTTCCTACTGATCTGTTTTACATACCCCAAGTGCTCAAGTCCAGGAAACTTCTTTGAACGCTCCTTTTCTGGTGTCCTCACAAAGTCATTAAGGACAAGCCGAGCTAGAGATTTCTGAACCAGCTTGCAGTAGGGAGAGTGAAACAGAAATGCGTCCCAATACTGGATATCAATAGGCTGATTTTCATGTCCTGGTAACAATAGAATAACCAACAATTCATTTATACATAACTCAATTATGTTATTTTACTTTGTAACTTGTTCTTACAAATTATTCAGATCTGTTGTGTCTGAAAACATACATATATGTGTATACTCACACATATAGTTAAATACTGTCAATAATGACACATTGTAGTTGCTAATTAATTAAACATTTAGTATTGATCAATTAACTCATTGATTACTTAGTAAAATTGTTTTTTTTTATTGCTAGTGCGGCCACTTCTGGCCTATTGTACCAACCCCAGATGATAGGTGAGGGTGATTGTGGAGCAATTGGTGGAATGAAGATTGGCAAGGGAAACCGAAGTCCTCAGAGAAAACCTGCCCAAGCACCACTGTCCACCACAAATCCCTTTTGACCAGACCCGGCATCGAACCTGGGCCGCCATGGTGGGAATCCAGTGACTAACCGCTTGAGCTATGGCACGGCCTAAATTAAGTGGTTAATAGAAATATGAAAAATTTTAAGTAATTCCACAGCAAATAACTAATCAAACATGTTAGCATAAGGCTTAAACTGTAAATGTCTGTACCCATATTTTCCAGTTACAGAACACAAATACTGATTACTTGCGCACTAAAATATGTTTTGAGAATAAAATCAGAGAATTACAGTAAACCACCGTATCAGACATATATACCACTTATGCAGCGAATGCATATTAGTGAGGAATTTTGAACTTTGAGATAAACATAAATGTCATAGAGTGATGGCCCATATGACTAATTAAATAAATAATTCTTTAGTAAAGAAGTAATCAAGAGAATAAATGATGTATTCCTGACAACCCTGGCTAGCGCATTTATTTTCCCCCGTTTTTGTTACATATCCTCTTCCTCATTTAATTATCCCAAAAGAAGTAAGTAAAGCACTGCATATTTATTATATGACAACCGACCTTCATTTACTTGTGCTAAATCAGTTGATATATGGCCACAGTAATCACAAGAAATGGAATAATTTTTCACATTTTTATGCTTGTATTCTGTATAAACAATTATATGAAGGTTTCTTATATGAACCATAACAAGAATTTCCTCAAATTTTCTTCTCTTCTTCTGTTTGTTATTTTTACAGAAATCTTAAGAAAAAGTCAATTACCAAATAAAATATATAATTGTCAGAGAGAGAGAGAGAGAGTGCATATGTGCACATGTGTGTGTGTGTGTGTGTGTGTGTGTGTATGGATGAATGAATGATGTATATATTTTTGCATAGATGCATGTGTATATGAATGCTCATATCAATTCTTGCAACCACTTGGCCGGAGGAAGCATAAGAACACTGAACTCTATTTTTTAACTGTCCTTAGCATTCTAGGCTCTGTCCTTTAAAATATGTTTTCACATGTGAAAATGATCCAGCAGAACGTTTCCATAGCTGCCTAATATTAGAGAAGGAGAATATTTACATAACTTAAATTGAGTGGTTCGGTGTCATAACCTTTGTATTTTTACTTAATTTTATTATAAAAATAGAAAAATGTAGAACCTAGTTACAGAGTCTGTTGTTTTACTGTTTGCTGTTTTTGTAAATAAGTGGTAAGAGTAAAGTAATACTGTTGCCATAGATTGAAATATAATTTTACATTAACTTGTGTCTTAACAGTAATATTTTCTCTGACAGCACACAACTGCCTGCAATAATGGTACCTTCATTTGTCTGATACTTCTCAATCTTTGAACAAAACAGGTGATAACAGAAATCGAGTGCTTTTAGATAGCACTGTACTGAAAGCTTCCCATCAACTGTAGGATATTCTGACAAAAGATCTGGTTTGTAGAAGTCGTAAGCATGTGCCATATATGTAGCACGAACTCCTGTAACAATAAAAAGAATTTATTATTTAAAAGCAAACTAGTTTCTTCAATTAACACAACCTACTTAATAATAAGAAGTAGGATGATGGAGCACATTCCTTTACTGAATTTCTAAATATACAAGAGACTAAGATATTGTATTTATTGACCACTTTATCACACAATTCGTAATTACACTTAATTATAACATCATCATTGATTTCCACACTTTAGAGTTCATTAGAGTGCACACTAACTAAGCCTTTTCCAGGCCGCAGTGTCTTCACTAGTACTTTCCTGGTAAGGGCTCCAACAATGGCGGCTCCTATCCAACAGCAAATTCTTGCTCCAACTAAGTCTTCTCTTCATAGACTGATTAAACTCAAAGTCAAAGTCAGAGTTACTTTACAACTGGGAGTTTACCACCAATCAGTTTGCCTTGGTATCAAGAAGCCCATTGAGATTCACAAACTGAGATGTTTTTCAACTGCACCCTTGCAGTCATTGTCCTTATGTAACATCCTCTCTGATGAGAAGATGGATTTGTTTCAAGAACATGCTTGGCATTTCATCAAGAATACATATTGCACATATAGCATGTTATTGAAAACTCTTCCTTTTGCACTGTATACAAGTCCTCTGTCAGTACAGGCACTGCAAAGCAGATCAAGCCTATCTTATGTATCTCATGCTACAATGGCAGCTTAGACACATCTCCTCACTGACCACATAGAAAAAACAATTCCTCTGTTGCATATTCTGTTGTTCATTCCATCAAATTCTCCACAAATAAGAATATCTAACCAATTCTAAATTGTAATCAGCAGTAAAATTGTAACTATTGTAATTTTAATCTACTTATATATCAAATTGTTAATATTCAGAATTANCAAATTAGTCAATTAGCACTTGCTTCCACATTATTTATAAATCACCAATCACTGTCATCTTAAAACTACAAGCTATGCAGTCTAAGATAATGGCAGCACCAATAAATAGACAAATAATTTTGTTCCTCTCATCGATATTACTAAAGGATACACAACTTGAATTCCCACCAGCAATGACTTTATTTTTCAATTTTGTGACCTAATAGAATCCATTTTAGGCGAGTTTCTTGTCATGATGGCATGGCGTGTTCTCAGTTAAAGATGGAGGAGATGGCCTCCATGTATGGAGCGTTAGCTGACAACGGGTGGTCCTCCAGCTTGGGGGTTGGGCGTGGGGCTAACAATTCCTCACCGTAAAAGAAATAAGCTTGTTACAAAATGTCACAGAAGGCCTCAGACCTAAACAGATACCTTGGATAAACGACCTAAGCTAAAGAAAAGGTACATGACATTTGGTAAGTGGAATGTAAAAGTCTGTATAGGGCAGGTTCACTCAAGGCAGTGGAAGAAGAAATATAAAAATTTAAGTTAGATTTAGTGGGAGTACAGGAGGTCAGATGGGATGGAGGTGACACCCAAACAGCAGGCACATATAAAATTTTTCTATGGAAAGGGGAATGAAAATCATAAATTAGGCACAGGTTTTTATGTATATAAGAGAATCATACTGGCAATTAAGAAGGTTGAGTTTATTAGTGATAGGTTGTCATACATAATACAAAGAGGTTGCTGGTGTAATATAATCGTTCTGAATTTTAATGCCCCAATAGAAGAAAAAATTGATGCTATAAAAGACAGTTTCTACGAAGCACTAGAACATGTATCTGATAAATTCCCAAGGTACCATATGAAAATTTTGCTAGGAGATTTCAATGCCAAAGTAGATAGGGAAGAAATTTGAAACCAACGCTTAGGAATGAGAGCTTGCACAAAATTAGTAATGATAATGGAGTTAGAGAGTAGTAAACTTTGCCACATCAAAAAATCTTCTTGTCAAAAGTACATTGTTCCCACATCATACCATTCATAAATATACTTGGAAATCTCCTGATGGGAAGACACACATTCAAATCGACCATATTTTGATAGATAGGAGATGGCATTCAAGTATACTTGATGTCCGATCATTCAGGGCAGCAGGTTGTGATACTGACCACTACCTGCTGGTGGCAAACTTTAGGGAAAGACTGGCAGTGAGTAAGCAAACAGGGTAGAGGGTAAGGAGAACATCATGTTGAAAACTCAAATAGGCTCGCAGCTTTGGAAAACTTAGACACTGAGGTGAAATTTACTAAAGCCTGGGAAACTATTAGAGAGAATATCAAATTTCTGCTAAAGAGAGTCTAGATTATTATGAACTGAAAAAGCATGAGCAATACTTAGATGAAAGATGCTCAAAATTAATAGACCAAAGGAAACAAGACAAATTGCAGTGGTTACAGGAACCAAGCAAAATAAATGGGGATAATCTGAACAATATAAGGTGTGAAACCAGCAGGTACTTCAGGAATAAAAAGAGGGAACATCTGAAAGGCATAATTCATGATATTGCAGTGAACAGTAAGAACAAAAACATTAGAGACCTGTATAGAGGAATAAATAAGTTTAAGAAGGGCTACCAACATAGAAGTAACTTAGTAAAGGATGAGAATGGTGATATGCTTACAGATTCCCACAACATTTGGAACAGATGGAAGAACTACTTCTCCAAGATATTGACTGTACATAGAGTCAGTATTGTTAGACAGATAGAAATACATATAGCTGAACTGTTAGTACCTGATCCTAGCCTTTTTGAGGTTCATATTGCTATTGCAAAATTGAAACGGTATAAATCACCAGGGCCACGTGGTAGCATAGTTGGTTGAGGCACCATGCTACAGGCCGGAAGGTCGGGGGTTCAAGTCCCAATGAGGTAACTGGATTTTTTCCAATTGACCTAATCCTTCTGGCCGCACTATGGCCCTGGGGTCGACTCAGCTTCTAACAGAAATGAGTACCAGGAATTTTCTTGAAATATTCTTGGGGGTAAAGGGCAGCTGGCACGTAGGGCTGACAACCTTGCAGCCATCTATGAGCCAATTTTCTAGAAAGTGTGGGAACCTCAACATCTCACAACCTTATGGGCCTCCACGGCCTGTTACAGGGATACCTTTACTTTTTTACTTATAAATCACAAGGTAGTGATCAAATCCTGGCAGAACTTATTAAAGCAGGAGATGAAATGTTACATTCTAAGCTCCATAAGCTAATTTCTTCTATTTGGCATAAGAAAAAATTGGCTGATCAGTGGAAAGAGTCTATTATTGTACCAGTTCACAAGAATGGTGATATAACTGACTAGTAATTATTGCGGGATATCACTGCTTTCAAGTTCATACAAAATTTTGTCCAATATTGTTCTCTCATGGTTAAGTCCATACATAGATGAAATTATTTGGAATCATCAGTGTGGGTTTCAACATAGCAAATCAACTACTGATCAAATCTTTTTAATTCATCAAGAACTGGAGAAAAGTGGGAGTACAATGAGACAGTACATGATCTATTCATAGATTTAAAGAAAGCCCATTATTCAGTTAGGAGGGAAGTATTGTACAATAATGTGATAGAGTTTCAGATACCCATGAAACAATTTATGCTGATTAAAATGTGTTTATATGAAACGTATAGTGCAGTCCATATTGGTAAACATGTTACTGATAATTTTCCTATCCAGAATGGTCTAAAACAAGTAGATGCTTTATCGCCACTCCTTTTCAACTTTGCTTTAGATTATGCCATTAGCAAGGTCCAGGAAAGCCGGTCACGGTAGCCGAGCCGTCTAAGGCATGCACTGTCTTCGCTCGCTCAGAAGCCGGGATCGTGGGTTCGAATCCCACTCAGGGCATGGATGTTTGTGTGCGTTTTTCTGTGTTTGTGTACAGGTAGAGGCCTTGCAATGAGCTGATCACCGGCCCAAGGAGTCCTACTGTATGTCTAAGATCTAGAAAAACAGAAGTGAACGGAGGAGTTCATGGAGGTAGGCCTAGGCCCACTGGGGCTGTAGTGCCAAGGAAAAAAGAAAAGGCCCAAGAAAACCAGGTGGGACTGAAATTAAATGGGACATATCAGCTGCTGGTCTATGCTGATGATGTGAATCTATTTGGAGATGACATAGATACCATGAAAAGTACAGAAACTTTAATTTATGCTAGTTAGGAAGTTGGACTAGAAGAAAATGCAGAGAAAACTAAGTATATGTTGCTGTCTGATCACTGGAATGCAGGGCAAAATCATGACATACAGATAGCTAACAGATCCTTTGAAAATGTGGCACAGTTCAAATATTTGAGAATGAAAGTTACAAATCAAAATTTGATTTAGGAGGAAATGAAGAGGAGACAGAATCCAGATATTGCTTGCTACCATTCAGTCGAGAACCTTTTGTCTTTTTGTCTACTGTCTACAAACAAACTCCATGCCCTGTAGTCTGCAAGCAAACTATACTGTCTGTAAACATACAAATTAGAATATAAAAAGTATAATTATGCATGTTGTTCTGTATGGGTGTGAAACTTTGTCTCTGACATTAAGGGTGGAAGATAGACTGTGGATGTTTGAAAACAGGATGCTGAGGAGACTATTTCGATTGAAGTGAGATGAACTGAGGGGAATTTTGAGAAAAAAAAACTGCATATTGAGTAGTTTCATAACTTGTACTCTTCACCAAGTATAATGAGAATAACTGAGTCAAGGATGATGAGAATGGCAGGTCATGTAGCAGGAATGGAAGATAAGAGGAATGCATATAGGATATTGGTGGAAAGTCAGAAGGAAAGACACTACTATGAAGGCCAATACATAGGTGGGTGGATAATATTAAAATGGATCTTAGAAGAAATAGGATGGTTATGATATGGACCAGAATTATTTGGCTGAGGATAGGGACCAGTGGAGGGCTTTTGTGAACACTGTAATGAACCTTCAGGTTCCATAAAATACTGGGAAATTCTTGAGTAGCTGCAAAACTTGGAGCTTCTCAAGAAGGGCTCAGCTCCATGAAGTTAGTTAGTTAATTAGTGGGTTAAGAGAATGATCTTAGGAAGTAGGAAAACTTCTCTGTAAAAATCAATAAGAACTTTTTCAATGACATGATGAACACTTTTACTCATGGGTATGAAATTTGGTCTACTGGTGTAGATATAGTGTGGAATAACCTACATTCTTTTCAGACAGATCTCCTATTAGTGAGACAGTGGTTGTGCGATATTCTGGAATAGCCACAATGTTACAGCCTAAATGGCAACAGTTAAATTGTATTTACTGAAACAAAACTCAAAATCTTCTCTCATCCATGGAATTTATTTATGGGTTGCATTTGTATTTTTACAGCAAGGGGAGATGTCTGGAATTAAACATAACCGGTGTAGGATCTAGAATAATAATTTAATTAAATTTTCCATTGAGTTTAACTGACTGTTCTTATAATAAGATACAAGATTCGTGTATGCAGCATAACTATTAGTTCCATACCTCCGCCTTTATTCTAATGAGCATAAAACAAATTAATGAAAGGAAAAATGAAACTTCTCAGAGGTAACACAACCTCCATTTGTGACCCAGCATGAGGTATATGAAAGTGAATAACACATGTTTGGTTGTAATTATGGCGTCACAGGAAATGTCAGATCGTGCTGCAAAGTAACAGATTTTTATAGGCAATAAAGTTGAAGAATCTTTGCAAATTAACAGAGATGTATTCAATATTCCGAATTTGTATAGGAAATTTTATGTATTGGTGGTGATCTTACCTCTGCATATGACAAGTGGTGCACTGGGTCCCACTAGCATTGCAACAGCCCCGGCTCCTCCTGTAGGACGTGCATTACCCTTTGCATACACAGCAATGTCTGATGCCACTACAAGAGCTAGGCGCCCTGAAACCAATAAAGGCAAAGTTGTTTCTGTGCTTACTTAAGCACATCATGAAGTGCAGTTAAGGTACAGCTCCAATTTTTAACCCTAGGAATTAGGGGTGAACTGTCAATTTCACACGCCACTTCCAGGGAAAGAACCAGCGGTATCCATGTGGTAAGAGGCTGGTTGGGCCCCAGAACTGGTTCGCGCGCAGTGGCGAGCAGAGAAATGTTTGATCTTGTTGGGTATCGAAACCTGATTTTGTTGTCCAGCCAGCGGCTAGTCACTATACCTACTGCGCTACCCCGGCTCCGAACTGAAATGAATTCATACCAATTATTAATGACAGGAGAATAACAATATCAGACTCCTTCGTAGCTCTGTCCATTTTTCTGTTCACTTCTGGCTCGGCCCGAGCAACGAAACTCTTGAAACTGTTGTCTGCTGATAGATGACATCACTTGTATTATCATTGGTCTTTTTGATACTAAAGAGTAAATAAGCCAATAAAGCAGGCATAAAAAGGATAGTTATGTCTCAACAGCCGAGAAAATGTAAAGAGTTTTAGAAAGAAACTAATTGTGGTACTGTGATAATGATGCTGTTATTTAGGGTGGTGGTGATGGTGGTACTTGTATCTGAAGATCAGTAACAATTTTAACTCTTCCTGAAGCCTGAATTCCATCTAAATAGCGTAGTGGTTGAGGAGCTACAAGTCGGAAGGTCGCGGGTTCAAGTCCCGTTAAGGTCATTGGATTTTTTTCAGTTGACCTAATCCTTCCAGCCGCACTAGGCCCTGTGGTCTACTCAGCCTCTAACAGAAATGAGTACCAGGAATTAATTAAAAATAATTTTCCTGGGGAGTAAAGCGCGGCCGGCGCGTAAGGCTGACAACCTTACCGCCATCTTTGAGCCGATTGTCTAGACAATGTGGGACCTTCAACGTCTCACAACCCTATGGGCCTTCATGGCCTGGTTCGGGGATAGCTTTACTTTTTTTTTTTACTTTATAAGATACAATAAGGGAAAAATTTCATAAAGAGAGGGAAATAAATTTCTGCTGAATGGACTCAAGCGTATTGGCATCAATAAACGCGACAGAGTTCCGTACTATCGAGGTGTATTCTAACTTTGATCTGACTAACGAATGATATAACATTTATAAAGAGAGCAGAGATGAAGAACAGGTGGTTATGGAGCTAATAGGCCCAGTAACTTGATATTCTGAGTATGCAAAATAAACATGGTTGTGGAAATATAATTTCACATCAAATTGAACACCAGAGAATTTAATGGCGCTGGTACGACTAATGGAAACTTGGAAAAGTTGATCCTCATCATTCAGACGACTAGTCTTTCTAGAGGCACATGATGACGTATTTCACGGATATAGCAGCACACAGTCGTTAATGGAACTGATGACAAGTGCAAGTAAGAGGCCATCATGGGATGAGTTTATGACTCAGAAAATTTTTATATATCTTTAAGATAAAAAATATACAGCGGCCGATTTACGTAGGCCAATAATGGAAACTTCAGAAGGAAAAGGGCTAACGAAAGAGCCCTGCGGCACATCGGAAATAACTTCAAACGGCAAAAAGAGTTTTCCAGAGGCACAAACTCGAAAATGTCTGTTGGTTATGTAACTGAGAAACCAGCTGACAGAACTGTAGTGCGAAACGTGGCCATGCATAACGAATTAATATAACTTACTAACTTAATTACGTATTAAGTTATTGATAATACTGATGGGTCTCAGTTGCAGACAGAGACATGATCGCCTCCTTTTAAAGACCGACACAATGCCGGTTCCTTCCATACAGTTGGGAAATACTGCTGAACCCAGCTTGAGTTAAACACTTGTTTATGGTTGGAAACAAAAGTTCCTGAGCAACCTTTGTGAAAAAGCCAGCGATGTAATAATAATAATAATTCAATTATTTGTTATTTATGTGGTGAGCTAACAGGCGCAAGGCCAATTACAGACAACACAATGTAGATAGAAGTAGTTACATACTGGACAAACACAACATTAGAACAAAAACTAAGTAAATGTAAGTATTGGAGGAAAAACACATTAATGCATATAAGGAAACAAACTAAATAATAATAATAATAATAATAATAATAATAAT